CTTTCCCTGCCTTGGTATTCCTGGCATGATTTCATAAGAAATTGCAGAAGAGTTGGAGGTATATGTAGGTTTAAATTTATCATTGGCAATAGTGAATAGTTTTGCTGTGTTATATGTCGGCGAAAAATTATTTTTGGTAACTGTGAATAGTGAGGATGATGAATGAAGGTCAGGCTTAGACTGAATTAAGATGCTGCAGGCTTGGTAGTCTATAAGAAAGTAGGAAAGTAGTAAAATAATGTCAAAAGTAAAAATAGAGATAAAGGTTCTAATAGAATATTAATGGAATATTAAAGTTCTAAAAAATGAAAAAGGCAGAAAGGGTAAAAAAAAAAAAAAAGGGAAAAGATAAAAATGTTAACTAGGAATTTAAGCCCCTATATTGAATGCTGGGAAAGATTGAAGGTCAAAGAAGACTGGGACGGCAAAGGATGAGATGGTTGGACAGTGTCATAGACGCAACGAACATGAAATTGAGCCAACTTCAGAGGACAGCAGAAGACAGGAGGGCCTGGCGGGAGCTGGTCCATGGGGTCGCGAAGAGTCGGACTCGACTGTGCGACTGAACAACAACAACAACAACAATTGAATGCAAAGAAATGGCAAGACATAGGAGATGGGACAGTGTACAAATATGAAAGGTTTACAATACAGATAAGAATTCAGGGTACAACTTTGATGGACCATAATCCTTAGTATGATATAGAAATATAAGTTCTCAGTTAATAAAGAGTGAATATTATGATGGAGAAAAGGGAAGATATTACTTATCAAGGATATGATGAACATGTTACTCTGTGTTGCTAGAAAGAATAAGTGTTGTGCAAGGAGTTTGTATTTATGTAATCTTGTTGACGATCTTGTATTTGTATATGATATAGGCTTATAAAATCAAATAAACAGAATTATTTCAAAAAAAAAGAAATTGCAGAAGAGTGATGCTTATCTGTACATAGCAAGAGGTCCTTTTTCTGGCAGGTGTTCTTCAGCATGCCCAAGAGCACTCATGTTCGACAAAAGAGTGCATAAAAGGCTCTTGGTTCAGGCATGCTTTCTGAGAGGCTGAGGCTGGAGAGGGCCTTGCTCCAAGAACACCAGCCCCAGGTGCCTCAGGTAGATTTTCTTTGTCAGTTGACCTTTGCCCTTCATTGCATATGGGGCAGGAAAGGATCTAGGGAACCTGAGTTCAAATCTGCACTCATCCGTGAAGCTCACCCGATAACCTTCGGTCTAGCCTACCTCACAGGGGTAGAGTTTGGATGGGAAAGTCGTGTATATCGCCTAAAGCACATTGGAGGGATGAAAACACGATAGACTTGTACGATGAGCATTGCGTATCTAATACGGTTACCAACCTCCAGGTGGTGGCTGGAGATCTGGGATTACAACTGTTTTTTGTTGTTGTTGTTGTTCAGTCGCACAGTCGAGTCTGACTCTTCGCGACCCCATGGACCAGGTCACGCCAGGCCCTCCTGTCTTCCGCCGTCCTCTGAAGTTTGCTCAACTTCATGTTCATTGCATCTATGACACTGTCTAACCATCTCATCCTTTGCCGTCCCCGTCTTCTTTGACCTTCAATCTTTCCCATTTTCA